CCGTAAAATATTGTGCATAATTCCGTTTCAACAAAATTTTAGCCTACAATTTCGTCACATTAGATTAGAAAAATTCAATCCAATTATATTTCATGAGAAAATTCAAATTAGCAGCAAGAAATTAGGGCCTCAAAATTTTTAAAAAGAACCATTTTTATCGAATAAGATAATTATTTAAATTATCAATTCAGTACTATTTGATATCTCTTTTGTAAAAGTAAAAACAAAAGCTTTACTTCTGAAATATTGGAAGTTTATATATCAAGAAATTTATTGGAAATGGAAATATTGATCAAATATATGTAGTTCAAATTGCTACCCTTCTTTTTGGGTCTTTTTTCTAAAAAAATTTCACTTTTATGAGTTTTCTTTTTCTTTTTTTGCTATGAGAACAATTACATGTTGACAATTTAACTAATCGCTGATAATAATAATGTCTGCAAAGCCGAAAAAATGTCATGAATTGGAATTCAGAATACCTCCAAAATAAGTAGATTCGTTGCACAAAATTAATAAAATAAATATTTTGATACTCAAAGTGATGAATTACTCATCCAAATTCATCTATTCCTATTTTTTAACCAATCATAATTCCAATGTTCAAATGTTGCAGACATGGAAGGCCCTTTTTGTAAATTGTTTCCAATCTGTTAATCAAACTTACGTGCAATTGTTGGAATGTTGCAATGAACTTGTACCCAAATATCGAAATTTTATAAAGGATCTCTATTGGGCTATTTGCGGTAAGCTTAGGCTCAGGCTTTGGCTTAGGCTTTCTAGTATTTGGTTGGATCTCTTCGTAATTCTTCAAGTTGCAAATCTACGGGATTGGATCCATCTTAAACAATCTTTTTATAGAAATCAATAATTGCTGTTCCTGTGGCATCATTATCAGTAGAATTAACAATTTCTTTAATCATAATGCCACTAATTAATTCGATTTGAACAACTATTTTAAATTTGAACGAATAATACGAAGCATCATGATTGGACTAGAATGGCTAAGATTACATCAAATCAAATTAAGGAAACATGTTTGAACTTGAAACAATCTGAATTGATAGCAGAATATGTTAATGTTAATTTCAAATAAAAAACTTGACTCTTTAAAATAACTATGAACGCCAATTACTACATGATTGTCCCCAGGCAATAATTACTATCGTCAACTAATTTTTCTGAACTTGATAGATAAAAATATTAGTTGGTCGAATTCTTCTAGAACACTAGTTAAGAAAATAATTTAAAATACTAATTTCCTTTTATTTAAATAAACCTTTCCAAATTTATTTGAAAAATTCAAATGCTAAAACTGAACTTTGTTTTATCCATTGAGCTGGTATGATATAATTCCCAGATTCTTCTAGCAACTCAAAACCTAATATTTAGAATCAATCTTTGTAAATTTTAGAAGAGGATGAACAATCAGTCAGCAAATCACTGCTTGACAGAGGCCTAATACGAAATATACAGGTACGAACATACATTTGCATATGGTCAATCACAAATGCTTGCTTTCAACACACACACACACATACACACACACACACAACACACACACACACTGTGCTTAATCAACTAATCACCATCATGTTTACGCCGAAAATCACCCAGTATTGCATGTCATCATTTCTGCTCAAGAGTTGTTTGTATGAAGGCCCACTACAAAATTAATAAAATTTGAAATGCAATACTTACAATAATCGCTCTGATAGAATCATCCACAGGTGCAGAACATAGTTGAAGGCGATAGCAATAACAATATCACAGCTCCAAAGAATAACAATGATATCTGAAAATCATATTTATAATAAAAATAGAACTAATCACTTGATAATAAATATTACTACTATCCAATCTGTTAATCAAACTTACGTGCAATTGTTGGAATGTTGCAATGAACTTATATCCAAATATCGAAATTTTATAAAGGACCTTTATTGGGCTATTTGCAGTAAGCTAATGTATCTGGAATGTTAAACCACTACATAAGAGGATAGGATCACTTATCCTCCTAGTGGTCAGTGGTCAAGTCCAAAAGCTCGAGTAGTCTTTCGATCCGATAGCTCTTAGCTACAAAATTTAGCTACGAAATCCTACGCCTTGCTGAGTCATTCAACCGGACAGTTAACGCAAAGCACTCAAGGCGACAGATTAGCCAAGCACTCAATTTGACAACGGTTCAACAGCGAGAAGCAGCACTTCACTTCACAGTCACTTCTCCTTTGATGTTGAGATTGAGCACATCTGCTAATGAGGAAGTTCTACATCTGATGAGATGGTTCTATGCAATTTCCTCTTCTTATAAAGTAATCTAATCTTTTATGTAAATATTTCTTTTATCAGTGAAATTATTGTCGACTTTGTAAGAACCTTAAATGGAGCTGTTATCTTAAGCCCAACCACTTAGGGTCAATATAGATGCATTCTAATAAATGCATTCTGGGCATTCAAAAATAACTCTTTTCTGTCGAAGATCACAAAATGACTGTTTCGTCGCGTACAACTCGATCTTTGACTGATGATTAAATAGACTATAACTCTCAATTCCATCTTCTAATTTCACCATCAAATAACATTGTTTCATTATAATTGTTATACCTCTACTACTGAATAAACCTTTTTCTTGCTATTCAACACATACAAACAAAAACATTCATAACACAGGGTATCAAACTGTAAAGGCGGGAAGGATGGGCTATTGATCGAAGTGTTGGCGACTAAGTGTAAAGGATAGTGTGATGCATGTTTGACAGGGAAAACTTTCCTGTGAGATTTTCTTTCTCCATATATATCTAGGATTAGGAGGGGAACTTTATTAAGCTCAATCGGGGTTATCATGATGCCTTTTGGTATGGTCCATGATGCACGACTGATAACTCACTGGATGGGAAAAAAATCAGTAAAGGAGTTAGTTAATTATACGATGAGACGAAGATATCAATGCACCAATAATAGGACTCAGGTGATTACAGCTCGACAAGCGATGAATGAGGTGAGGGGGATTTATCTCGCAATGTTTTCGCATACTGGATCAAACTGTAATTCTTCCCAATGGTATCTCAGAATCAGAGTTGTATTTGAAGTTCATT